GTAATACTGCTATGAAGTTAGAGTGGTTAATTCTTTTTTTGTAAAAGTTTAACGTTTCCAAAGAGTTTTCCAACTGTTGAGCTTCACATGAGTTATACATGGACTAAGATATCAACTCCTGCCAGCTGTCGGGAGGGCCAGACCCTTGGCCAGTTGTGAGTGGCCTCATCCACTTACCCAAGTGTATCATCAGATGTTACCATTTCATATGCACCATGATCTAAAAAGGTTGGGAAGCACTGAACTGAGGAAGGATTGCTCCTCCATAAATTATAAGGTTACCCTGTTACATACAGATGAGGTTTTCCAGTTTGATGCACAAAAGTGTCAAACCCAGCATTAAACAGTGAGGTTAATGGGCTTAACTACTCTCACACTTGTTGAGGAAACTGGGAAATCATGTCATTTTACAGCCCAAGGAGCTCCTTTTCAGACACTTTGTCTCCCAAAAAGAAAAAAAAGGTGGCAGAAGAGATCTATGAGGAAAATAATCAAGCCACTGGTGCTGCAGGCTGCAGGAAGAGTTACCTGGCCTTACCACTCACTACTGCTTCCTCCTTGACAATAAGACCAAGGCTTTCATCCTCCTGATCTTGAAAAGCACATTCCCCTCAACTTCCATAAATCTGCAAAACTTGAAAAGAGCCCCAGTGTCATCAAGTAAAAGAGATGGCATTAGGAATCTCACTGGAAGGAGGGGTGTCTTCAAGCCTCTCACTGCTAAGCCGGACATTTCCTAACACTGGACAAATTGTACGTCCAGCTCAGGGAGGGTGAACTGCAGTGGTCTTTTACCCTCCAAGCCAATTGTTAGCTTTTCACAGGAATCAGCAGGGAAGCACATGTGAAACCTCTGTGTGACGGTGAGCACCCCCATGCCTTGTGTGACTCTGCATGTAGATGAAGCAGGCTGGGAGCTTTCTTAGCTGCTGCTGCTGAGTTCTCAGAGAAGCCCTTTTCTCCGGCTTGGCTCCCTGCTGGGATAGCCCTTTTCAATTTTTCTATCCCCTCTCGATCTCTTCTCCTGCAGAACACAGGGAAACTTGATTGAAATAAAGACCTAGGGAACATGTTTTATTTTCTCCTGTTCAATCCATTTTAGAAAAGCTTTTAATTGGTTTTAAAAAGATGCTAAACAAAATGTGATGATGTTTTTCAGTCTTCACGAACTACAGATACCACTTTTTATACTTTCAAAGGGCTAATAAATCAATCATGAAATTAACTCTGCAGCTAAATTTAAAGCAAATCCACTGAATACCAGGTTCATTAAAAATCTATGCATTTACTTAGAAAAATTTAAAATTCAAACAAAATTATCCTAGTAACTGAAATCTGACTTGAATTTTTAGTTCTACACTGAAAATCCAAGACTAAGGCAATCACAAAGGGAAAAAAGGAGGGCTTGGGAACCAGTTTTAATAAGCCAATTTACAAGAAGGAAGGGGTGGTGGGGGAGGGGAGGAAGGAGAAAAGAGAATATCTGGATACATAACAACATAGTGCCCCTGAAGGGATTCTTTTATTTGAGTATGTGCACACATGCACACACAATTTTTCTGTGTGAAAGCTGGAAATTCAACAAATGCAAAACTGAGGATTCAGTGACTGATATGATTACTGTATTGTGTGTAAAGTGTAGTTCCTCCTTTTAAAGAAAAATGCTCACAACTTCTGTTTTCTTACCAGTAATAAATATTTTTCTACCACTCTAAGCATTTCTATAATATTTAGCTGAATATACCTTTAATATTTAACTAAAAGATCTGAAAAACCTATATGCTAATGGTTTGATAAAGTGAATCCTTCCACTTTACAATGACTAATATTCTTGACACTTGGATCAGCCTGAAAATTTCCCCTTATTTTCTTGAGAGAATATAAACATTTTAAAAAGCAAGGTGGTATGACAAAGCACATTTTTATTTTGTTAAATATATGCCAACTAGAAATACTACAAATATTAATTTATTCTGCCACTGATTTATGTATACTGCAGGTAATCTGGCAGTCCAGGTCAGTCACCAAATTCTGATTAATGACCAGATGGTGTTCCCTTCAGAGAGAACCCCTGCCATTTCCAATCACTAAGGCAACCACATCTCTTACTTCTTACATATTTCTATATTCTTCCTCATCAGTCCTCAGATACATTCATTCCATGTTCTTTTTAAATGATCCAATTCCTTTTTCTCCCAAGCTGGGCCATGTACCTTGGATGCTCACCCCTCACTTCTAACTCTATGTCTCCTTTCATCATTTAAGTAGCTTCTAAATCACGTCTAAAAAACATAACCGCTTGAGATATGATTCACAGAGCACACAGTTTACCCATTTAAAGTGTACAATTCAGTGTTTTAGTATATTCACAGACAGACACAACACTACCAAAATCAATTTTCCAGCATTTCTGTCACTCCAAAAAGAAACTCCATCCCCATTAGCAGTGACCTCTAGTTCTTCTCATTCTCCCCTCCCAGCCCTAGGCCATCCCAAATATACTTTCTGTCTTGATAGATCTGCCAATCCTGGACATTTCACATAACTGGAATCATCCAATACGTGGTCTTTTTGACTGGCTCCTTTTGCTTAGCATGTTTTCAAAGTTCATTCATGTTGTAGCATGAAATGAAAGCATGTATAGTACTACCTTTTTTATTGCTGAGTAATATTCCATTATATGGATATACCAGATTTTATAAGATAAACATTTAGTTATGAATAATGCTGCTATGAATACTCACATACAAGCTTTCATGTGGACATATGTTTTCATTGCTTGTAGGTGTATACTCAGTGGAATAGCTGGGTTATATGGTAACTCTATGCTTAACCTCTTGAGGAACATTCTCACCGGCAGTGCATACAGGTTCCAATTTCTCCACATCTTCACCAGCACTTGTCATTATCTGACTTTTTGATGATAGCCATTCTAGCAGGTATGCAGTGAGTGGTATCTCACTATTGGTTCTGACTTGCATTTCTCTGATAACTAATGATGTTGAGTATCTCTTCTTATACTTATTGGCCATTTGAACTTTACTTATTTTTGAATGTTTTCACTCTTATCATGCCCTGTCTAAATATAAACTCCAGCAATACGAAAACCCTTAATTAAGCCCACTAAAATGAAAAGACACTAAAAAAATTTTTTTGTTGATAAGGTATTGGTGAATCACGTATGTATAAACCTCTATGCCATAGGCTGTGAGATTTAAAAGCATAAGATAATGTTCCTTCCCTCAAAAATCTTACAATAAGTTTTACAACACAGAAAAAATTATTCTTAAATCTTAGTGTGGCAGGTCATTCGTTAATAGTTTCTGTTTATTTCTGTTAGCATCCACTTTGGATCACAAATGCTTCTTAGCCAAGGGGGTGTACCTCTGTTTAAATCAATGTGTATAGTATTTAACAATGTAAAGAACAAGAAGTACAAGACAGCATTGAAGTTATTCTTCCTTCTCCCAAGTGACTTTTAGCATAAATTATTTTCAGCTAAAAAAAGAAATATTTTAAGAAATAAATTTAAATGCCTAGAAAAAGTCCCACATTCTAATAGGTTTTAAAATTAATATGCTGATATGATAAAGTTTTTTTGTGTGTGCATGATATATGTAGACACTGGGGGGTAATTATTTCTGTTTCAGCAACTTTAGATATATATGTTTTACTTATTTATGAAAATACTGGAGGAATCATGATATATGTAGATATTGGGAGGTAATTATTTCTGTTTCAGCAACTTTAGATATATATGTTTTACTTATTTATGAAAATACTGGAGGAATCATGATATATGTAGATATTGGGGGGTAATTATTTCTGTTTCAGCAACTTTAGATATATACGTTTACTTATTTATGAAAATACCGCAGGAATCAGAGAAAGAGAAAAAACACTCATTTCTCTAACTTCACCCTTAGTATAAGCTAAGACTCCAATTATTAGGAATGATGGTTTATGCAAAGCTGATTTAAAAATCCTTCCACAATACATATATGTTGTAAATTTTCAAGACTGTTATAGGTTATGTTTCTTCTCACTATTTTAGAAGTTAAAAAAAAACTCTAGGAAAACCAAGACAAGTCCTTTACTTTTAAGTGCAAAATACACGCACGTATGTAACTGTTAAATTAAAAATCAGATTCACCAGTTTAAGAGTAAATGTTTTCCTTACAGATTAGTTTCTATTTCTGACTTTAAATATGAGATTCTCATACAGACATTAAGATGCTTTTCAAGTCAGTGTTTAACTGCTTTGTACCTGCCTTTGATTGGCATTTTTCAAGGTTACAGCATGCAGAATCAATCAAGAGAACTCATGTCTTGTGACACAGCCAAACATGCTCTGGCAGCCTCTACATAATTAACATATTTAACCAACCTTCATAGGTTGGTTTTAAATTTGTTAACCTACCAAAATCACAAGTCTCTAATAGCCACATCAGTAAAAATGCAACCACAGGAACCAAGATCCTGGCTATAAATTCACTCCTCAAAAGTGCCACATGACCCAAGAAAAATAACTCCAGATCATCTGTTAAAAATAGTTTTTTTTTTTTTTTTAACTGCCCAAAGAAAATAAACTTAAATATCCCCATAAACAAATTTTTAAGAAAACCCATGAAATTATAAATGAAACAAATGGGAACATATTCAATGCCTTCTCTATTAATAGCATAATCTCCCTTGGGAGTTGGAGGTGGTAGGGATATGTAATATGGTGGAAAACTTACAAAACAACAAAATACAATGCTAATTGTTGTATCCCACACAGAAACTGTGGGATTTTGATTTCTTCAGAAAAGGAATGGAAAAACTATGTTGAGAAAATAATTTACCTTAAGCAGAAGTCAAGACCAGATGACCTTTCAAAATCCTTTCAACAACCGAATTTTATGTTTATGATAACCTGCTTATTTAGAGACTGCATCATTATATGCAATTTACTGAAAAACCCTTTGTTAAAATATTCCATATCAGTAGTATTATTTTACCTGAGGAGGTGCCTTTTTCAGTAAAACGAGAAGAGCCTGTAATACAAGATTTGAAAATCGAGGGCCAATAGGGACATAATCTGGAAAAGAAATATTATTATGTTTAGGGATTTGATTCACATGTACATATTCCAAACATTCAGTTTCTTTTTTGAATCAAAAGTAAACAGTCCCTACATAAGCAGAATACATATAGAAAAAGAAAAAAATTTTTAAAGAGTAAACAGTCTCAAATAACAGTCATACAACTATTTATAATAAGAAAAAATATCTCTAATAACCTAAATGCTTAAAATATAAGAACACTTATCTGTAATTTTTTTTTTGAGACAGGGTCTTGCTATGTTGCCCAGGCTTGTCTTGAACTCCTGGGCTCAAGCAACCTTCCTGCCTCAGCCTCCCAGTTAGCTGGGATTATAGGTTACCATAATCCCACTGTACTCGGCTCTATAAATTTTTTGAAAAAGCTTCTAAATATTCACTTTGAGTTCATGTAGACTTTTTTCCTGGGATTATTTTAGAGGAAAAAAAATCCCAGGTGTATTTACCAAGCATTTCTAAGAAGTTACTGCAAACCATGGCAGTTCAGTACACTGATATTAAAACATGATGTTAGAAAATGGGCAAAGGGGAAAATAAGTAATTTCAATAAAACTGAAACAATGGCAGAACCACTAAGATTGGCCCTCAGATGGTAAGGAACAGATAACTTTCTAAGAGAACATCCTACCTGTTAAACATTTACCAATAATTCAAGATTCAGCGTAAATGTCACCTGCTTAGTTTTCTCTGCATACTGCATATGCACCCCTGCCCTGTGCTTAGAGCTACTTTCAGGCCCCTGAGGTCAAAACTGATCCCTCCATTTTCAGACTGTCTACCAGATGAGAACAGTGGGAAGGAAAATAAAAGTAAATAAATAAAAACCAGAATATCCAAAATACATGGCACATTCTACTTTGCATTAACATTTGCCAACATATGTTATAAAGACATGCAGCATCTTCTTTTTCTGAGACTCTTAACACTTCTACCAGAGGAGGAAGGGCTCAGCAAGTGCTTGTTGAATAAATGAGCAAGCATGTACAGATGATAACCATTCATACCGGTGAAATGTACTCAGAGGGCACACATTCCTGACATGGTAGTGTTGCTATGACCACACACCTCAATTGTGTCAAGATAAAGGAATTTATACAGAGCTATAAGTTTGTGCCTAAAAGCTTTTAAAGAAATCATCCCATAAACTGGGCTGAGATGTATCAAACCTAGGAGACCCAAAACCCACTATCAATTTATGGAGACCTCACAGATACACCAGCTTTGCTTTATAACAAACACTGCCAAAACTTAAAAAAATAAATAACAGAGGACCAAAAGCAAGTCTGAAAATGATGGGAAAAATGCAGTAAGAAGAGTTAGCTTGAAATCATGACTACAGCATTATGGACAGCTTAAGGAAGAAGGGATTATTCAGACACTGGGTAGTATTTTCAGATGTTATTAAGTCACCAGGTGGGTTTCTATTTCAATAGAGTTTATTACCCCTTCCTGAGCCATTGTTGTAATGAATTTATGTCAGACTGATTTAATTTTACAGTGAAATTAAATTAGCAACAACTTTCTGGCACTTCCTTGCCGTTTATTTCTTATGAGTTAAGTGCCAGGACCAAGTCTTTTTCATGTTTGTATCCTGTAGGAGTGCACTTCAACACAGGAGATATTTAATACATATTTTAAAAATTACTATAGAGCACTTTTAACTTACAAAATTTTTTCAAGATTTATTATCCCACTTTTGTCTTCACAATTACTCTGTGGGATAAGCAAGAGAGGGATTATAGTCTCTGTTTTGTAAGAGCAGAAACTGAGGTGCAGAGAGCTTACAACTTCTGCCCTTAGTGTTTTAGTGAATTTGCGGATTTCACTGTGATCCTAAACCCTTCTTTCATTAGCTCTGTCAAAGTTCACAAGTGGATTTCTGAGCTATAGGCAGCTCAGAGGTCCTAAATAACAGATATACCCATCAATGAAAATTATTAATCATTTACTATGGCAAGCGCACACTGGAGGATACAAAATGAGACGTGGGCCCTTACAAGAAAGCAGTTTATAATGTTGTTAATAGTCACAGGGCATATTAAAACGAATACTATCACTGATGTCAGCTATTTAAGAGATGTTATATTTCCTTATAAGACAAAGAAAGGTATTTCTATTGCTCTACAGTTTATAAATACCTGTTAATTTTCTCTTGTAACTTTTGAGATATTAGCTGTAATGTGGCAAAGATAATACAACAGCAGAAGTTAGGACTCACCAAGCAATCTCTCAATGTCATCCACAACCACACAACTGAGCTGGGATTTGTATGCATCATCAAAGATCTGAAAGAAAACAAAGTCATTTATTATCTCACTGTCCTCCATAGTTATGACAATTTCCAAGAAGTTTCGTTATTTCTTGAGCAATACTAAACAAAGCACAGGAAAACAGCAACACTTTGGACTATAATAAATCAGAATTGACACAACTGGATCACAGCTGAAGAGAGAGCAGGCTAAGGCTGTTTTCAGCACTAACAGCTGTGTGTGTCACACCTGGGCATGCTGGGGACTAGCTGATCATTAATCAACTGACACGTCCCATCACTTCTATCACACTGGTCTCTGGTATCTGTGTCAGGAGCAGGACTTTAGTGTCCTGCAGGACGCAAGAGCTAGATGGAGCCATAAGAAAGGTGTAAAATAAAACTGGATGTCATTTTACTGTCTGTAGGAATTGTGGCTCTGTTAAGCAGAAATAACACCAAAAGATCAGAATTCTGTCAACTCAAATCAGACCGTAATGGTAAAAGAGTTTACAAAAGAATTAAAGGTTGAGTATGAAGGATCAGATAGATGTACGTATAAAACCAGACAAAAGATATGAATGCACTGTCTTAAGATGGACAAGGAAATGAGAATGAAATTAAGCAGTGAAGGAACTGTTTTAGCCTGGCAAGGATGTAGTAATTTCAAATCAGATAGAAGAATTAGCTTAACTGCAAGTTGAATAGAAGTACTCAAGGCCTTGAGACTAGCCTTTTTGGAAATGAAGGTCCTATTCCAGAGACTATAGGTGGGGCTCAGGAAATCTCATTGGTGTCATGAGTAAGAATTAGTTTCTGCATCCCAGCCCAGTCTCTCTGGTTGATAACCAAGCTCAGTACATCAAGATAGTAAACCCTATCCCCACCCACACCAACATCTTGCTTGGAATGGCATATATTCCTTTCTGGGTATCTTTTAACCATTGAAGATTTATAATTAGGTACAGAAATAAAATCAAACTCACGATATTATTTTTCATGTTAGGTTTAAAAACAACCTGTGTATACTTGGTTTTTAAAGTATTCCTAACAATTAAGAAATGTTACCATAATAGAGTCTCACTGTGACCATCTTGATTCAGTTCCTTCCTTACATCTTTCCTGGCATAAATACGGACAATTTCTTCAGAGATTTAATCAGGTCAACCCCTCTGGTGAAAACGCTTTCCTATGCACCATCCCTTTACCCCCTAATCACCCTCCTACACTCTGTCTAAACCCCATCTATCCTTTCATCCTAAGCTATCTGTCTCCCCACTGGACCGTGAGGTGGATAAAAGCTTTACTCTGTTCGTGTTACGTCTAGTGCCCAGCACAAAACAGAATTCAGTAATGATGTCTGCTCTATAGGTTCAATGGTTGAATACAAGTTTCAATTCAATCTTGCCATAAATCACTTGTCTTCTCCTTTGGCACAGGATTTTGTATATTACGTGTATATATTATTGATGCATTGTACTGTTCTTGTATCATACTAGATTGCAAGCCCTCAGATGGCAAGTACTGTCTTAATTACCTCTGTATCCTCATATCATTTAATATAATGCCTTATTAGAGAGTAATTAAGAGGTATTTACTAAAAGAATAAATTTATGCATTTTAAATTCAAGTAGAAATATTGAGTGAGAAGTTGGAGATAGCTGATTGAAGTCAGGGAATGGAAATCACTCTCAGGACTGCTGAAACCATGACAAAGGATGCGATCTTCAAGGAGAAATGGTAGAAGAAGAAAAAAGGCCTAAGGACTGAGTCTTGGAGTGCTGCCTTATTCATTCACTCACTCAACAAATATTTTTGAATTCTTACATTAACGAAGGCACTGCAGAGGATAATAAGTAAGACAAAAATGATCCTACTTTCACAAAAGTTAGAGTTGGGGAAGCAAGTCACATGTAATTATAATAAAGCATGACATTATTAGGCTAGGGGAAATACAAGATGATATGGGGGCACAGGGTAGGCAGTATTTCCCCAGTGCCTTGGAAGTTAGGCATAACTATGGGGCTTGCTTTACTTAATGAAATACGAGGGAAATATACCCCTTTCTGAAAGAAGCCTTAGGAGTCACTGCATGATTCACCACATTCCTTTTCCTGCCTTGGCTATCATGGAATCACATGTAAGATGGGGTCTCCATTAACTATTAGCTTGAGTCTCTGAGAAAATATAATGAACAGAATGCACTGTCTCAGCCATGATGGAGATATAGTAGGTGAATAAAAAATAAACTTTGCTGTGTTAAGCCACTGAGATTTTCGGGTTGTTCTTTAATGCAGCATAACTCAGCCTATCTTGACTCTTTTTTTTTTTTTTTTTTTTTGAGACGGAGTCTCGCTCTGTCGCCCAGGCTGGAGTGCAGTGGCCGGATCTCAGCTCACTGCAAGCTCCGCCTCCTGGGTTCACGCCATTCTCACGCCTCAGCCTCCCGAGTAGCTGGGACCGCAGGCGCCCGCCACCTCGCCCGGCTAATTTTTTGTATTTTTTAGTAGAGACGGGGTTTCACTGTGTTAGCCAGCATGGTCTCGATCTCCTGACCTCGTGATCCGCCCATCTCGGCCTCCCAAAGTGCTGGGATTACAGGCTTGAGCCACCACGCCCGGCCGCCTATCTTGACTCTTAAATGGACCTAGGGAGACAGGACAGTCTCCTAAATTTAGGAAGTGACACTTAACCTGAGACTTGAAGCATGAACAACAGTTAACCAGTGGAAAGGGTGGAAGAAAGTGTTCTAAGGAGAGTATACTGAAAATTAGGAGACACAGAGATGTGAACATTCAGGGACACTGCAGGAACGGTCAATAAGAATTAAAATAAAGTGGTGTTGGTGTCAATGTCAGTGGAGTGGTAGGCGAGATGAATTAGAAGAGGTGATGAAGGAACTTGGACGTAAAGAGTCTTACAAATTTCATGAGTTAAAATTTTATTGTAAAGGTAATAAAAAGCCACTAAAGGGTTATAAGCAATGGACTGACATGTCAGGCTTATTTTTTTGATTGTATAGAAAAGCATTAGAGAGGAATAAAAGTTAACTGAGACTGTGGAATTCCAGGTGAGAAATGATGGTGGCAAGGGAGTGGGTGCGCTGGTAAGTGGATAGAATCTAGAGATGTTTAGGAGGAAGAACTGAAAGAACTTGGTGAATGAATGGGTGTGGTGATGAAAAAGAAAACTGTAGTCAAGGATCCTTCCTGATTTGGCAACTGAAATAAAACACAGAGGTGAAGCTGGTTTGAGAATGGATCATGAGTACATTTAAAGAGCAAGAAGAGAAAGGCGTTTTATCTCCTCCTCCCCAAACACAGAAAAAGAGAAAATGAGAATAGGGTATTTATTTCTGTCTCTTGATACATAATGATGGCTCTTTTTGGTTTTGAGTTGCTACATTCAAGACAACTGAAAAGCTCAGAAGCAGTTCTACAGCGGTTCTTTGCTTTTTTTTTTTTTTTTTTTGAGATGGAGTCTCGCTCTGTCACCCAGGCTGGAGTGCAGTGGCCGGATCTCAGCTCACTGCAAGCTCCGCCTCCCGGGTTTACACCACTCTCCTGCCTCAGCCTCCCGAGTAGCTGGGACTACAGGCGCCCGCCACCTCGCCCGGCTAGTTTTTTATATTTTTTAGTAGAGACAGGGTTTCACCGGGTTAGCCAGGATGGTCTCGATCTCCTGACCTTGTGATCCGCCCATCTCAGCCTGCCAAAGTGCTGGGATTACAGGCTTGAGCCACCGCACCTGGCTGGTTCTTTGCTATTTTTTTGAAGACAGAACCAACAGGGTAGTCAATGTGGTATCTTATAAACCCAGGTAATTTTAAGGAATGACTGACAATAATGCTTTGCTTTTCAAAACATATTTCAGAATTCTACTAAAAGCTCTGATGTAAGCATATAACTCTTGACCACCAGGCTGTGAGATCATGAATTAGAGTCACAGGCACCTGGGACACCACAGCCTGGCTGGTTGCAGTAGTTCTATGTTTTTCCTTCTCAAAACAAGGTACAGCTTATATGGCTGCAAGGACCTTACTCAGGACACTGCTTAGGTCTAAACTGATGATGACTTCCTACATAATATGTAGTCTCACCAACTTATCTCAGATATTGTAATTCACAAAGCATTTCAAATCACTTCACAGTTGACTGCATGGCCTACACATAACACTTGAGAGGAAAAATACAGCAGTCACTTAATATCAAGTAGTGACGTTTGTTTTTGTTTTTTGCAGTTGGTCTCTGTACTAACTACTATCAAGAGGGAGAGGTGCACTCACAGCAAGCTCTATTAACACACTGACCATGACGAAGGCTGTGCAATTCCAGTTGTAACCTGACTAGTTTCAGGTAACCAGTCAACTGAAACTCCTCTGGGTAGTTACTGTGCTCTAACTTAAATACACATGCACACACCCCTTTCTCTTCTCACACATCCATTTTCTTCCTTATCTAGTCACTAGTGTAACCTGTGCTCATAACTCTTCCCAGGATCCACAATTTCTGCCTAGTCTCCCAGGTCCCTTAGTCCCTTTCACCCTTTCTGGCCCAGGCCCCAGCAGAATTCTAAGATACTCAGAGTTGGTTGACAAGTACAGGAGGTTAGCTGCCATAGTAAAATCTAAGTGAGATATTTACATACTGAGCTGGGAAGCTGCACCACAACTTTAGCTAGATAACCCCAAAAGGAGGAGAGGTACGGGAAAGAAAGATGCAAGAAAAGTACAATTGTACAAACTGCCCTAGTCAGACTAGTATAACTGAAGTGCCAAACTCACCATCAGTTATAGCACACAGCAGGTAACACAGTGCCTGCACTAGATCCAAAGATGCCCCAACACAGAAGATGCCAGGAGGGCTGAGGCTGGAGGTAAGAAGGTAAGGACCGTATCTTACAGATTCCCCCCGAAAATTAGTCTTAAGAATGCATAGTCAGCCTAGTTTTATTAGGAAGTTTCCTGTAGAACAGATAAAATTATCAACGTATTATAGGGTCTTAGAGTTAGGTGGGAAGTCTGAAAGAGAAGGCTAA